GTAATGCATAGGACATCAATTTTAAAAATAACTCCAATTCTAATTCTTTGCCCAACATACCTTGCATGTTTTGATGCATCACGTTTAAACAGTCGTTGTTAGTAATATTACATGTTTGTGTTGAGCTGGGTTGTAATAAGTTATTGCTAGAGGTCGCCTCTATTGTACATAATATATCTAATTTAAATTATTAATACTTAATGAAGTGTTACTGCAATTATCACTACATTCTTTTAAGAAGCTAAACTGCTCAATACGAGTAGAAGCAGTAGTCTGAAAAGCTAAATGTTTAGCTTTAGTTGTAAATAAAAAGTAAGATAGCAAAGTTGTTATATCTATCTATTGTAAATAATAATTAGGTAGGTGGAAACTATCCTTTGTCAATACACAGTTATATTTTAATATACAATTTATGTCATTTAAATCAGGTAGTATACCTAAGTCACAATTTAATTGTATGTTGTTAATTGTTAAATTATTGTGCAACAGCATGCAAAATACAAAATACCATCCGTAACACCTCGAAGTATTTCCGAACCAATTCGACTTAGGGTCCTTCAAGAAAAGAGCGTACCAATTCTTGAAAGGCCGGCAACGCACTTGCGAGCCTTCTGGCATTGTGAGTGTCCATGGACGGCGGTATCACTTAACATCAGATGAGCCTCCTGCCCGTTTGCCTCCTATCACATAAAAAAAAAAAAAAAATGTTCAACTTATATCTAATTCTATTTTCCCTTTGTGCTTGCTTGGTGGTTTTTTCTTGGTTTGATGTAAAGAAATGTAAACAAGATAATATTCTTTACATCAAGTGATTTTAATTTATCAATAAATGACAACAGTTCATTTTGTCGTACATTTTCCCTTCTCCCAAAAAGCAATACTATAGTTGTGTAATTTCCACACAAAACTTTGTTTGAAATGTTTATAGGGGCGGCTCCGGGCATACAATGATTAGTTAAAATTTTGCCGGAGAACTGATATAATTTAGTGCCAATATTTTTCCCTATATCATCACTAAACAACAGAATTTCACTTTTATTTATAAAGCTGACTTTTTCTATGAAACTGTCACTTTGCGCATTAGGCTCACATGATAACAATGGAGGTTCTGCATTTGACTCATCAAAATTACACTGGCAATTGTTGGTAAATGACAGGAAGCTTTGTTCATTGTATTGAGACAGCAGCAGAACCTCATCCATGGCCAATATGTGCTGCCTTATTTGTTGCTGGGCACAAATGTATTTATCTGTCATCTCTTCAAGAGAAATATGAAGACTTGTAATCCTAGAATTCAATGTAAGAATGTCAGTTTCATATTTATTTTTTAACGGAATCAACCTTACTTAAAAATATTTTACAAATAAAATGTAAAAATAAATCCATTATTACATATCTTTATTTTTTGATAAATTTATGTGATTTTTGTAAATATTATATCTCCTTTTATTAATCTTTTAGTTTTTTACTGACTTTTTGCAATTTAATATATTTCTTTAATTTGTTTTTGTTGTTACAATTGAATTGAGTTGGTGTATGCGACACAGAATCATCACCAGTCAAGTCAATTGTTGCAGTGGACCTAATAGAGGCTTTTTACCTTCATTTGAGATGACCAGTTCTTTATACAGACTTGTCTTGTGTATAAGAAGACTTATTTGTTAATATTTAGTTTGAGCTGTTCAATTGTTTCATAAGCAGAAGAGAGTTGAGACCGTGGCTTAGATATGGTTCTTAAATTCTCCTCATTCAATGGCATAGCGGTTAAAGTTGCCCGTTTGTCTTTTAAGCCGGTCTCTTTCCTCCTGTGCCTCCAAGTAAAGAGTGTGAAGCTGTGTCAACTCAGTTTTTAGGAAAGTATTTCTATTAATAACCTTCAAAGTCTCGGTTTCGTTGTCATTCCTTTCAACAATAAATTGTTCACACTGCACCTTGTACTTTTTGAGTTCTTGGAGCGTAGCGGTAGTGTTCTTAATGTCTATGGTTTTAAATATCTTAACTATATCGGCGGCACCAATGGTTCGGAATGTAAAACTGACCTTACACTCGTTTACATTATCTTTGAGCAACGATTCAGCGAGGGCGGGAGATGATCGAAGAAATTTAGTAGTCGAAATTGGAATGTCAGAAATGTAAGTATTTCTGACATTAGCATTAGCTATCAAAAGCAATCGCTATCTCTTCGTTAGATTTGATTATAATGTTATCGACACAGGTGGATGTCTTGATTGCGATCTTTGACTCTTCCAAGTCATTTTAGTATTATTGGTACTATTCTCAATCTTGTTTTGGATATTTAAAGACTTGGCCGCGAAACATACTTTCTTAAATAATTTCGAACATAAAGAGTAAATTCTTCATTATGATTGTATGACTTTTCAGCGTAAAGGTCATACAACCGTTGTCTACTTTTATAAATTCCCGCTGTCGCCCAATTACTAAACGATTTACACTGCGAATGAGAGACTTTCTTTGAAGTAAAGATTGTGTTGAACTCTTTATTAATACAATCACTTAGATTGTTGTATTGTGTATCAACGGTAGAACCTACCGGTAATAAAAGTAGGTGTTTACCTATATTATGTCAATCACCATTCGCTTATTATTTACTGAAACAAACACACTGCTCTTATTTACTTGTTTCACCACTTTACATTTTAGCGCCACTAACTTTCCACAATGATCTGAGCTAAGATTAGTTGTAATTGACGTTCTATGCGCGGGTGCACAGGGACACCATGATAAGATGGTCCCCCAAAATCAAAACATCATCAAAGGAGGCAATTGCATCGCTTCATTAACAAAGCACTAAGCTTCTTCTTTGCCTACTGGAGAAGGAAGGTACACCACACAAAGACCTAAAGTTTGATGTCCATAATTTTTTTGCTTCTCTTCAAAAGCAGAAGCTACCTCGGCGTCCGATTTTATTAATTTCCCTTTAACTTTTAACATATAATCGGTACGTTTATCAGACGATTCTGGTCAATTATTTTCCAAGTGGCTTTTACTTTATCCCTGCTATTTTCCATTTTGAGCTTAAATATTGTGACTTTGTAATTTTGCAATAACTTTGGAAATTTTTGAATATTACCTAAAATATTCCCTAAATTCCACACCAGTGTTATATTGCTTTTCATTTAATTTTAACCTTTTTCAGTGTAACTGCAATGTTTGGAGTGGGAGACTTGATTTAAATAGCCTTTTAATATTATATCAAAAGTTTATAATTGACTCGGTAAACACACATTTTACAATATTAATTAAAAACAAAATACAATCGTGATCGCTTACTGGTAATACTACGACCGTGAGTATAGCTGTTACGAATGTACTGACTTTTTTACAATCGCGAAGGAGGTCATTTATAGTAGGTACTTGATAATTACTTTGTGTAAGATAGACATAACATTTATTACTAACAAATACACACACACGTGAACACACAAAATAAAATCATCAAAGAAAAACAATATATAAAAAAATCCTTTTCCCATTTTTTCAAGTGTGTAATGCGTGTCTGCTGTGGTTGTTATTGGCCCTGGCTCAGTATTATGCTGAGGAGCAGAATGTTCCACAAAAACTTTACCAACTTTTCTATTTCACTGTCGTCTGCTGATAAAAGACGACGCAGTAACTGCTTTCTGTATCGACGTTACGTTAGGGTGCAAAAACTTAATCGTGAACTTCCCATTTTCTCGATTTATTAGTGTTTCAGTTGAAGGGTGCGTAGGCGCATTATCTAATATTAACAATAAATCGCCCTCTTTTCCCACGTCCTTTTGAAATTTCTTCACCTCAGGATTTAACATATTTTCTAACCAAGTAAGAAAAATATCTGTCCACGCTTTTGTTTGGTTAGCGTAAGTTATGGGTATTTTAATATTTTTGATACGGCGCGGATTTTTTGATATACCAATAAGTAGCTGTGGCAATCGATGTTACCTTTAGCGTTTGCACAAACCATAACTGTATCTCTGTCCTTACTTACTTTGTGTCCATTTTCACGACGCGATGCTAATGATCTGCTTGGTAGAGCTTTCCAATTAAGTAAGGTGACCAACTATTTTTTGTTAAAAAATAGTACACTTTGCAAGTATTTCATAGGTGAAAAAAAACGATAAAAACTTTATTTTTTTTGTAAAAACATATTTTTCTTCGGAGGGGATTTTTTTTTGCCAAATTAGGATGTTCGTCTAATAATGTAGCCACATCCGAACAACTTTTATTTTCTACTCTAAAATGCCGAAAGACTTCTACCCATCTTTTGTCAAGTTCTATTTTCTCATCGTCCATTTCTCCAATTTTTCTTAATTTAAATATAAATTTACTCTTCGAATTTCTTCAAAGAGAAAATTGTCATTAATAACAATATCTTTTATTTCCTTCATAACAAATTCGACTGCTGAAGAAACATCATTCCATTGAATTTTTCTATTTAGAAGGGTCCATTTGAAGCAATTTAATGCTCTAAAGTTCACTATCCATTCTTCGATATATTCATAACAAATTTTATAAAAAAAATTAACTTCTTTCAAAAATTCATTTGTTATTCCGGGATTGGAATCTTCCAAAGCGGTCAGTTTATTATTATATATTAGATTACCCATTTTTGGGAGCATCACCAGATAGCTTAATCGGAGATGAAACCATAGTTGAGGTGAAGTGTCCCTATACAAGTAGGAATCATTTTATAAATGAATTGACGGTGCCTTATTTATGTAAAAAAAGCATGCATGGAGAATTAGAATTTAAAAAAGACTTGTGTCTATTATTACCAAATTCTGGGCCAATTATTTGTTACAAAGAAATTTTGTGATTTAATTATATGTATACATTTAAGGACATAAAAGTACTTTTTATCAACAGAGATGAACAATTTATTAATAACGTGGTAAAAAGCCTGATTGATTTTTTGAAAATTATTTCAAGGAAGCCATTTTTATTCAGTATATATATGTATATAGAAATTATGAATAAAACCCATATCAGAATCATAATATTTATTTATTTACAAAAACTTCCCTGAAATTACACAACATTATACAAACAAAGAAAATTCGAGAAGCTAGGGGTACATAACAAGGATTTAAATCTGATATTAATATGTTAAAGGTCTTACTTAGACCTATTAAACGTTCAATGTGATCTTGTTGCCCAGCTAATTGTCTATCCGGTTTCACCTTTACACCACTTAGTTGAGACTTTCCTTTTAAAAAAGTGGGAATATTTATACCAATGCCTTTAGCTGCAAATATATCTTGCACATTAAATCCACGATCTGCCATAATACTGTCTCTGGGTTCACATTTTTCAAGTAAAGTACTTCTCTCAATCATTTGCCTGTCATATGTAAAATTAAGCCAGGTAATAAAACTATTTGATACAGAAGTTTTACTAACACCAAAAAATTTTGATAGTTCATAATCACATTTGTTTCTTCTTAATTTAATTAACATTAATAAAAATTGGTCTTCAATTGTGATATTGATAACTTTTTTTTTTCTTGGCCTGCACGGTTTGTGCTTCAGCCATGCACAAAGGTTAAGTGTGTTATTATATTTATTTTATTGGATTGGAAATTGGAACGGAATTTAAAAAAGGATCGGGTAAATTTAGTATAATAATAATATTTATTTAAAATTTAGTATATAAGTACATAAATGGTTATAATTTTATATTTTTATGAAAAACTAAACTAGCTAAAATTCTATACCTATACATCAATATGTATAATATATAAAAAACATAAGACAGATAAGTCCTGGAATTCTAAAATGGAATCCGGGATGAAAGTAAGTCTCTTGAAGAGAGATTGCAAATGGTTTGTAACTATTCAATAAAAAAAAATTTGGTCACTGTTTTTACTATTAATACTCCGGCAATTCCATTGAATCACCAGGCCGGAATAAATGCCTTGTATTTATTAAGGTCTTTTTTTTATTAACGCCTTGTTAAAAAAAAGATTGGAGTATGCCAAAGGGCTATGGAGCGCTCCATTCTTCAATTGAAACTAAAAGACAAAATAAAAAACAAGGTGATACGAAGTCGTACAAAAATAAAAGACGTTGTAACTTATACAAAAAGGCTAAAATGGAAATGGGCCAGTCACATTGGCCGCATTTGTGATGGCAGATGGGTCAAAAAGACCCTTACTTGAGCCAGTGGGAAGAAAGAGAGGATGCCCACCGAAAACTTGGGAAGATGATATAAAAGGGATAGCGGGAAAAAACTGGAAAATTGTTGCAACAAATAGGGATAAGTGGAAGAATCTGGAGGAGGCCTTCACTCCATCGGAGGTCGAGTACAAGTGTAAAACTTAAAAGACACGGACAGAATAGATCCGGGTTGATTTGTTTCTAAGGGTTTTGGACATGGACAACATAAGGCGCAGGGTCTGACGCCTGGTAAAGCAACCTAGCAGCGCGAGTTAGAGTGAGCAGCCTCATTATGGTGGATTTCAGTGCTTTTATTGTTAGACTCAAGTGCTTTAGCAAAAACATTGTCTTTTAAATTATTAGGGGAAATTTGGCAATCTGATAGACCTGTATGTCTGTGATTCCTTCTCTTCTTTTGGTTTCTAAGTGAGATTCTCTTTCTTTTAACAGATTTCGTGCTTTCCAAACAGTCTGTATCTATAATGGTACCTTCTGTTTCCATTCCCAACGCATCAATTGTGACTACATGAGACACCTGGAGGGATGTCCCTCCAAGTCTTCGGGCTCCAACATGGACGCCAAGAGAAAAATCCTATCTACATATCGCCGGCTCCGGAGAATAAAATGATAAATGCAAAATCACAACTTTACAGGAAAATTAAAAAACCGTTTTAATAAGATTACTTCTTTTGGGTCCTAGGTAGGAACTTGGGAGTTAGCTTAAATGATAGCTAATTTTTAGTGTTATCTCTATACTAAGTTGAAATTTTGAAAGATTCCACTGAACTTGAGATATTTAGGAAATAAAAGAATAGACTAAATTTAACAATAACATGTGTTGCTAACATGCACTTATCATTTTTTTCTCATTTAAACTTCATTCATACGAATATTGTAATATAGTCCTGTCATGTTATTCTACGATATACGAACTCTCCAGCAATGTCGGTAATGTAATATTATCATCTTATTCTTGTTATTATTCACATAATGAATTTACGATATGAGTAAATTAGACGTTTTTTCTGGGTATTTAAATTAAACTACTTAATTATAGTCAACTGTTATTTATTTTGGGACCAACATTTAAAGCCAACAAAGAGGATGACAAAAATAATACTTTTCAAGAAAACAAAACATAAGCAAACAAACATAACATAAAGTCACTCTCAAATAAATCAGTCTATAATTAATCTATCTATCTCCATACTCAAATCTTCATAATTAAGTGGCATCTTCGAGTAAACATTCAAAATCACGAAACCTAATATTCCAAATAAAAAATAAGCGAAATCTAAGTAATTTCTATCCAAAAGTATATTATAATTTAAAAAAGTCTTCTTATTAGTTGCTCAATATTTAAAAAAATAGTCTTCATCAGCACAGTTATCAGTTGGTGCTTCTGCCTCATCATTAAATTTAAGAGATTCATAGAAACCATGATAGTAGCTTGGTATGTCATTTGATTTACAAAGACTTATGAGATCAGAATGTAGGGCTTTACGTATTGGCAGAGTCTCGGTGTATACAATTTTTAATTCAGGACTGTTATTAATATTAGGTGTATTGGAAGCATGTCTAGCACTCCGTTTGGATCTCTGTTGGCGTTCAATGTTGAGCTTAGAATACTCAGTGTCAAAATCATATTTAAACCGCAAGATGGATGGTTCTGAACTGGTTACATTGATTTCCATTATTTTAGACCACTTTATTTTCTTCCCTTTATCATCTTTACCCCAGTGTTTGTCCTCGAGTAATTCTTTAATGTCGTAGAAGTCACTTTGTAACATTTCTTTAATAATATATTTCTCGCCATTTACTTTGGCATTGGTAATTATTGCGTACATTTGATCTGGACTATACACAACTTGGTTTTTCAGCTCACGTTCTATAGTAGAATGCATCGAATCGCCCTCACTCTGGCCATGACCAGTCTCAAAAAATCTGTGAGTGATATTAATTTGAAGCTTTATGGCAGCAAACATGTACAGAGCGAATATGAATCTGTTTTTATTCTGCCCTGCGCAACCATCAGAATAAAATGACAAGTTTTTAATGCCTCTCTGTTTTTCTGTATTAAGAAATTGCCATAAACAACTACCTATTTCTATTGCTCCTCTTTTTGCAATCTGCGCATGCCAAACGTAGCAATAACCTTTGCGTTGAGTGGCGTCAAATATTGTGAAATTGTAAATAGGATACTTTCTCTTGTAGTGGAATACCCCAACAGCAGATTGAGGTATATTCAACACTTTTTGCAAATCAAATATAGCTATTGTAGTTTGCAATCGATTGCAAGATTCTTTTTCTTCTTTCTTTATCTGTCGAACTCTTTCTTTATTTCGCTGATGTTGATCGTACTTTTCTTGCAAGGTTTCTCGAGTAGCGTTATCAGCTTGGCGGTAAAGAGCGCATTTAGAGCACTGATCCTTTTTTGGCTTATAGAAAGAATAATTAAATCTGGTATTAAAAATTGTCTGATACTGCCGTTTTGTAGCCATCGGAAAATCAAAACTTTCTTGTATGAACCAGGTCTTGTATAGGCGATACATTTTAGATATGTTAAGTAGTTCTGAAAGATATTTTTTGTTCGTTTCTTTGCGCACATAATGAGCTTCCACTGCTGGGAATAAGTTAATGTGATCGACTATGCTTTCTTCTGTATCATTGCGCATTTTGCGCGGTCTGTTCTGATGTAGTCCTCGTAGATCTTGTAATCCTTCGCTATTGTTATTTTTTTCCAATGCGGTATGAATTATCTGATTTGAAATACACAAAGTGCTTGCAAAAAAGGTCCTACATACTTGAACTTTCTCTTTCTGTAAATCAAAATAGTATTTGACGGTTTGGGTGCGATTATTCTTTCGATCTAACTTGATTCTTTTGACCTTCTCAACTGTCGTGTAACTAACAATAAATTGCCATTGCCGCTCATGATCTCCTAATCTATAATACTGCTGCATAATGTCTTCTCTCTGGCTCAATGTAAATTTTTCTTCACATTTTTTTGCGCATTTACATCCTCTTGTAATCTTTTTTTTTTCGTATATTTTTTTAGATCTGCATCCCATATAGCTTTCTCCCGAGTTCTTCAATTTCTTACTCTTTACATCTTGATGTTCTTGTTCACTCCGAATCCGTTTTCTTGTCAACAATTTCTGCTTATTAGTAGAAAATGATGATGAAACTTCGTCTACACTTGCGGCAGAAGTTTCAGGCCTTGAGTTTATATCGGGACTTTGGCAGATAGCTGTTATGGTATTATCACCATCATCTAAAGTAGTTGTAGTGACTGTCAATATAGAATCTGAATTGTTTTCAGGCTGTAGAGTTGTGTCCAAACCAACGAGGTCTGTGAAATCTTCATTTTCGATGGAAGACTGTATATCATTCTCCAGAATATGTGACGAAGAAGATCTTTTGTTGAAAATAGGATTCAAACAACGTTTTGTTTTTTTTTCTGCTATTAATATCGCGTGGTTTGGCAGAAACCGGTGACGCAGTAGTATTTGTGTTTGTTAAAGATGTAGGTGTGCCCGTCAACTTAGCAGCTTCATATATGATTGAAGGTGATGCGACGAAGTCGATTTGTTTGAATACGGAGGAGACATTAGAAACAGTCGAAGGCGTTCTTGTAATATTCTCAATAGCTGCTGTTAAATAATCAGAGTCTCCGCCAAAACTTGATGGACTCCTGCTAAGTCTGTGTTGATATGGACTTGGTATATACTCTGACACGTCCGGCGAGAAGTCAACAGCAATTTCAAATTCGTCATCGTCGGAGTAATGTTTGTTCGGCAATCCTGAAATTAATAACCTAAAATGTAAATACTTGCTGATGCCCACTGAGGACTAAATTATTTTCGTTTTACTTAACGACAACGAATACGGTTTAAAACCAAAAATCAACTAGGTAGGCGACAGAACAACCTTAAATTTTTATTGAAAATTCACACTTATTGCATTGTAATAAAGTTCTGCCCGGGAAGGGTTTATGTATCGTGATATTGCCTGCTAGACGTAATCAAAATAAAGAAACGGATACTAAAGAAGCAATACTTCAATTTCGTTACTATAAAGATGCGTGCAAAAATATATATAAATAGCAATCAATAAGTATAATATCTCCCAAAAATACGTTCATATGAACAGCTGTCAGTAGGAGTCAAATATTTTTTAGACTGCTTAGGTATGTATTAACCATACGTGCAAAGAAAACTTGTATAATTACTCCGATATTATGTTAGCTTAGTAGGGAAGCAGCTGGCCACAAAACAATAAGTAGGTACTTACCTTGGGGACATTTTTCCGGTTCTGGATGAATAATTTCTCCTATATTATCCATAATGGCATTTAACCGGGCCGCCCTCAGTCTCTTCATCTTAAAAACACTGCTAGTCTATTTAATATCACTATAGAATTAACACATTCCATTAATTTCCGATCATTCCAACACAAAAACAAAAACTCGCTTCGCTTAGTGACGTATAAGATCATACTGATTTAAAAAGTAAACAAACAATAACCCTTGTCGGCGAACGCGCCGGTGTGTGCTATCCCTTTCTTACATTAGCTCAATCAACACGGCGGAAAGAAACAACAACATACTTTGTTGTTCAGTACGATTCCATGTGTTTGGCTAAAATCGCATTAGCAAACGAGCTCAGCTAATTTTGAACTAGAATAAAATGATAAGTGCGTTTGTCATAGACGCGGTAGGTATTATTTACTAGAATATTAAGATAAAAGCTGACATTGTGCGTAGTCATCAAAAATATTTTGGCAAAGCAATGTTATCGTATATTGTTCGATCCAAAAAAATCGTTGAATAAAATAATATCTTTTTCTAACTTTTTAAGTAAACAAAAGAAAAATCTGAAAAAAAATGGGCAGATGTATTAGCACCTCAGGATCCTGAATTTGCAATAATACTAAAACTATGATAATAGCGGTTATCATTTTGTTCTCCGGAGCCGTCGATATTATAATACAATGAAATTACTTACCAGGTGAAGAAAACAAACTAAAACTACAAATAATCAACAATAACTACTAATATATACACTTTACAACTTAACTGATCCTGTAAAATTTAATTAATTTAATTTTAAAAAGTTTAGCCAAAGAACGGTTCCACATAGTGGTGGTGCGCGGCAAAAACTGCCTTAGAAAACGCTCTGTTGTGGAACGACGGACGTCGAGGTGATACGGATGGTATTTTGTATTTTGCCTTGACGTCCGATGATGAAACTCAGCTGCAGGTATTAGACCGAACAACTCCTCTGAACACTCTCCATGGTAAATGCGGTAGAAGATGCAGAGAGATCCCACATCTCTACGCAACGCCAAGGGATCAAGCCGCACGGAAAGTGACTGGTCGTCGACGATTCGAACCGCTCTTCGTTGAATACGGTCAAGTGGAAGGAGCTGGTACTGGGGAGCTCCCGCCCAGAGGTGAGAGCAGTACTCCATATGGGGCCGAATTTGCGCTTTATATAGTTGCAAGCGGTGGCCCGGAGTGAAGTACCGTCTCGCCTTGCTGAGCACACCAAGCTTTTTGGAGGCTAATTTAGCCTTTCCTTCCAGATGACCGCGAAACTGAACGTTATTCGATATGTCAACGCCCAGTATTCCGATGCTAGCTGAGGCTTTAAGGAGAGTGTCTTCAAAGAGGGGAGTAGCGACAAAGGGAGTTTTTTTAGCGGAAAACGCGCATACTTGTGTCTTCTTGGGGTTAAATTGGACTAGATTTAGTCTACCCCAGTCCGAGACTCCACGTAGAAGAGTTTCGACTTCAGACACAAGTTTGTTCCGGTACTCATCGACAACAGCCCGAGAGATACCTGCCCGGCCAGTGTAAAAAGTATCCCCAGTGCTGTCGTCCGCATAGCAATGAATGTTGCTAAGCTGCAACATATCATTGATATGCAGAATAAACAGGGTCGGGGATAGGACACAGCCTTGTGGGACACCAGCATTCACAGGTTTCAGGTCGGAGCATGCTCCGTCGATGACGACTTTGATGCTCCGATCAGCGAGAAAGCTGGAAATCCAGTTGCATAATTTCTCAGGGAGCCCATAGGCTGGAAGCTTCGAGAGCAGTGCTCTGTGCCACACCCGATCGAAGGCTTTCGCTATGTCCAAACTTACCGCCAGCGCCTCCCCCTTGGACTCAATTGCCTCTGCCCACCTATGTGTAAGGTATACAAGGAGGTCACCAGCCGAGCGACCACGACGGAAGCCGTACTGAGAATCGCTAATCAGCTGGTAGCCCTCTAGATACCTCAAGAGCTGGCTGTTAATAATGGTTTCTAATCTTGTAGAATGAACTACCTTTCACTATTTTCATCACTGATACTTGAAATTTCAACCTCATGAGCGTAGCCTTGGTCAGTTGAATCATTAGTCACAGACACAGCAGTGTTGTTGTCAACTACAGATTCATAATTTTCTGTCACAGTGCTGGGTATGAGGCAACGCTTAACATTTCTTCTATTCAAACGTTCAGCTCGTGCAGAAGTGTCTTGACCTGACGCACTGTTCCAAGAAAACAGTGTTGGTACTGCAGATTTCTTTACAAATTGTTTCAAAATCTGTAACTTTGAAGTGCTAAGTACATAACCTACAATAATCAGTTGCTTTAAAATTAAATCTTCTCAATGCTCTTTGCCATTTTCTTCTTAGGGTGGGATTAGAAGGGAATTTATGTGAACCTATATCTTTACATCCAATAGCCACACACCGACCCATTTTATCACAAAACGTAAAATATCGCGAAGTTTTATAATTTACTATAGAGTTTGACATCTTCCTTTGAACAAACATTTGGCGCCCTCTACAAGGAACTATTTGACAGTAATCTTCCCCATTATATAGTGCGTTTTCCAATTACAGAGCATTTTGCGACTCAGTGCCGCACAATGCCGCATAATGCTGAATCTTAATTGGAACGTGAATTAGTTTTTAAATGCATCAGCAGAGTGCGCTAAGTCAGTGTTGAAAAAAAAAATGTTCTGAATAGAGTTAGCAACCTCATTAATGTATAAATAATGTAGTAAACAATAATAATTGGTTGAAAACTTTTTACGCTTATTTTAATAATCAAATTATTTCATTAACATTTTTTTACTGAAATAAGAGAAAACCCTTGAAGAATATAAGGTTTTAACAAGCTAAATTAACAGTAAAATATTTAGTTTCATGTAATAAGTTTACATCATTTACTTTTTGAGTAATTTTTTTTAAATGATTTCTAAAAAAATTACTTATATACTTTTTCAAAACCATTGCAATGTTTACAAAAGTATAATCCTGTAAAATAAATTTGTTTACAGATCCGAATTTTAAAATAAAATTGTATTCATATTTTAAATGTGGAATATAAAAAAAAGTAACTATTTATACCTTCATCCATATGTACTTATATTTTTTTTTTTAGCAGTTTGAAATAATTTTAATTATTTTCAAAATCTACGACGAAACGAAAGCTTTACAAATTTTTCAACAATAAATAATATTTACTAACGAAAATTTCGATAAATGCCAACTTAAAGAAAAACACTGGTCAATTTTCTGTCACTGTGTTGGTATTGATTGCGAGAAGCACGCGAGAGCATTCGTTTTGAGAGTGCTCAATTGTGTGAAGCGATGCTGTAGTTGGAACATTCAACGTTGAGCATTATGCCGCATAATGCGCTCTAATGCTGTAATTGGAAAACGCACATATGCTACTAATCTAATCTGTTTTACGTTAGTTACTCTGTGAAGTTATAACCACTATATCTGTTGTCAATTGTCATGTTTGAAGATGTTTTGTAAATCCCAAAAAAAAAGTTGTTTTGTGATTGTATTTTGTAATATATTATGTACATACTTTAAGTTTAAGACGTTTTATTAAATATTTTTATTTCCTTAAAAATTAATATATACAGTGCGTAGTTAATTGGTAGGGTGACAGTGTTATTTGGTTGAGTTCTTTAACGTATTGTCTTGCCGCATATAAGTTGCGATATTAACTAAAGGTTATCTGAAAATAACTTTTGTAATACTTAAATATGTCTAATAAACCACCAATTAAACGCTATAGACGCGATGACAATTCATCAGGATCTGAAAACGATGTTGATAATTACGAACCCTATGTTCCTGTAAAGGAAAGAATGAAGCAAAAGTTATTAAAAATGGGACGTCTTGGCCAAGTCGCTAATGAGGTCGCTGCAGAAACCAAAAGTTCGAGCGATAATGATCCTGACGATGAAGGTAATGTCCAAATACCTTTTAGCAATTATTCTCTTAGCTTAGGAGGATCTCAAACCTAAAACCACCATAAATGCTATCAGAACTTAACTCTAAACTGCAACTTGAGTGTGCTGAGTCAAAGAAAGAAAGGTTTTAGTGGTGTGGTCTAGGGAAATAATTTTTCATCATTAATTTTTTAATTATCTTAAAACATGCAATTATGTGGCTCCTCAATGAGCAAAACTTATTATATTTACATATGATATTTAAAGGTTCCCAAGAAGAATGGGGAAGACGCTACAATGTATCATTATTGGACCAGCATAGTGAATTGAAAAGACTAGCGGAAGCTCGGGCTTTGTCTGCAGCAGAAAGGCAAGCTAAAGAGGAGGCACATATATTAGAAAGTGTAGCTCAAAGTAAAGCTTTGATGGGTGTTGCTGAATTAGCTAAAGGTAGGTGTAGTTTAATTTATATAATTCATTTAAAAATGTGTACTAGTTTAAGTTAGATGTACCTTATATAGGTAAAACTTGGGGTACGTTATTCTGGATGTGGGTATAGATGAGATATTTATTACCAAATAAAAGCCTATTTGTTGCTTACCCATTCTAGAATCTTACGGTTCACATAGTTGGCTTATTTTGCCTACAGCCTTTTAAAATTATATTAGGTTCTTTTTATAGTTAATATACTCTTGTATAGTTTCTGCCAGCCTCAATCCTTGGGTAGGTCAGCTCCCATCGCACCTGGTACCCACTGCCAATTGCAGGTTCATATTACAATTTTAACGTGCACACGTTGTTTTTCTTAACAAGATACACCAGTGGCTAAGTAGCAAACAAACACACACCTCTAAATTTATGTAACATTCGAGAAAACATTTAATTCCACCCGTCTTAAGGTAACAATATTTTTTCCATACACAACACAATATTCAAATCTCATTTATTGTTATAAAACATCTTTAATACTACTTACACCTAGTCACACATACATAATATTATTCTTGTGAGCTGTAGGTGTAACACGCACCTTCAGCTGTTAAAATTTGGAACTACATGTCAGCGGGTGGCCAATGTTCAGGTGAAATCTGAACAACATATATATTTTATTTTATTGAATTTTTTAGCTACTTGCGGACCAGTCTATTACATCTAAATAAATCTTATTTTATGAAAATCAATAACTTGTGACAATGAATATTAATATGATTCTCCTACTGGTTGGGGTTCCATGTCTACTTAAGACTACCAGCTAAATTGGTGCAGTACCCATTTGATTCAGAGGATTTAAAGATGTTGTTTTATTGTAACAAAGAAAAATGCCTCAGGTATACAATATTCGGAGCCAATCAAAACATCCTGGAAGCCTCCACGATGTATCCTGAGCTTACCAGAATCCAGACACGAGAGGGTGAGGCAACAGCTCCGCATCCTGGTTGAAGGTGAAGATGTACCGCCTCCCATACGCACGTTTCAACATATGAAGTTTCCTAAAGGTATTTTTATAAGATTTCAATTAAATCTCATTTATACCAGTTAAATACGTTGACCCATCTTTATATAAAACAAAGTCGAGGGTAATGTCAAAATAACAAATCGAGAACGGCTGGAGCGATTTTATGGTATTTGATTTGTTGTATTTGTCTCAGTCTATTAAAAACATTGAAAACTTGACGAATAAAAAATAGAATACAAAATTTTTTAGGAGTTTCGTAACTGTCAAACATTTAAAATTCACTCCGTCATAAATTCTCCCCTCGTTTAAGAACGTAGTTAATGAAGGTTTCGAATCGACAAGATATATCCAAAATATTCTGATAATGGCGTATTTTAGTATTTAAAAATGTATTGGTTGTCAAATATTTATTTTTAACTAAGGAAAATATATCAAGGTACTTAAATATTGAACTTTTATTTATGTTTTGTGTTATCAGGTATCATTCGGGGCCTAGAAGCCAAAGGTATCAAGAATCCTACACCCATTCAAGTGCAAGGTATACCAGCAGTACTCCAAGGTCGGGATATGATTGGTATTGCGTTTACTGGTTCGGGAAAAACTCTGGTCTTCACACTACCCTTGATCGCGATGTGCTTAGAACAAGAGGTTCAGATGCCTTTCATTCGGTGAGTTTAATAATTTATTTTTGAAAAAAATCTGATTTCGATGTATCCATTATAAATTTTCTAAAATTCTGATTTTGATATTTGTAACAATCTGATTTTGATGTTTCCAATATGAATTTTATAAAAATCTGATTTCATTTTTCTATTTCTAGAAATCTGATTCTGATTCTTATTTGATTATGCACATTTTGATATTCCCAAAAATCTGATTTAGGATTTTCTAAAAATTTCAATTACGTTGGAACACTGATGAAAATATTGAGACAATTGTGTTAGTATTCAGTATAGTTCTACAATATGTAATTTATCGGAATAACAAATGGTGTTATACAGACTCGCGCTCGCAGATCTAATTTTGAAAAGGCGTGTTGAGAATTAAACTTTTTGAGAAGGAATTACTTTATTGTGCTTAAAAACATTAAAGTTATCAGTACGATGTCACTTAATATTAATCTGTAGGAAGTACGAAGGTGTTTTATTAAAGTTATTGTAGATCCACGATCAGATCATAAGGGCTATCGTACTCGTAGTCTTAAAAAAATGTTTCTAGCTTTCTTTTGAATGTCTATATTGGCCTGAAAGCCTGCTCGAGCTGTTTTGCCGCTGTGCTTTTCTAACAACTAGCACAAGACAGCTAATTATTTAAAACTTTCGTGCATGTTCTTGGTACGCGTGAGTTAAGACGGAAACACACTTATGTGTCGTGGCGTGTCGTGACGCGCCAGAAGCAGATTGGTTTCATACATTTAATATGATTAGAAACATATTTGCATGTCGTGTCGTGTCGCAACACGTTCTGTCGTGGCGCCGACTGCTCGCTACCGATTGCGCCAGAGCGGTGGTGGGGGTTATGACGCGACACGACACAACAGGCAAATGTGTTTATATACCGGCGCGTGGCTCATGGCGCGAACATCTAGCTGATATGAAATTAAATGATGAAATTTCTCTGCGTCACTCTCTAATTTTTTTAACAAGACGATGAAATTCACATTTGTCTTGTCTCCCTCTGTTTATAAGGTGAACCCAGTATCTTTTCTTTTTTTTGCTCTTAAGAAGTTTCATTGCTAAGAAAAATTTAAGGTCTTATTCAAAATCACTATCCGAATCAGACGAAGACATTATGTATGTTTGAACGCTGCAAAGGTTCGTTAAGTACTGTTCAGAAATAACGCCAGAGGACCCCACGACACGACATGTAAGTGTATTTCCGCCTTTACGCGCATCTATGTGTACGTTGCGTGTACGCGTTTTTCGTAGCATACTTTTGTCTATGGGTAACAGTCTTGTCACATTTATGTAAGCGTACCTTATATTTCATAGAAATTATTTTAATCAAACTGTTAAATATTGTTTCAGGAATGAGGGACCTTACGGTTTAATAATTTGTCCGTCTAGAGAATTAGCGAAACAGACACACGATATTATACTGCATTTTATCAAACATTTAAAAATGGCCGGACATCCGGAGATTCGAAGTTGTCTCGCTATTGGTGGTAAGTTTAAATTTTCGTGAACAATATTTCAAGTAGAATAGCTAACGTAATAGTGAAGTAAAATTTGTATAAAATTTCTATCAGCACTCTGTGGGCATTTTTGGAACTAAAAGTGTTATGTGAACATCGGTCTTTGGAATTATATTATACGTGTACCGTTATTGTATCGACTTACACGTGAACCATTATTTGATGACTCATTGGTCTAGTGGTTAGTACCCCTGACTGCGAATCCATGGGTCCCGGCTGAGACGAACATCGATGTGATGAGCAGTTGTGCTTAGGTCTTGGGTGTTTAAATATGTATTTATATGTCTATATATCTATAATATGTATGTATATCCGTTGCCTAGTACCCATAACACAAGCTTCACCAGCTTAGCATGGGACTAGGTCAATTGGTGTGAATTGCCTTAAAAAGAAAAACGTATACGAATACATGACGAAATTATCAAAAGGCTACATTTTTGAGTTTAAAAATTAAATTAAAAAATCCCTCGTAATCTTATAACAAGATGGCGGATGTTAGTGATCGGGTGTGATTATTTTTTTTTAAATGTAACGATCTAGGAAAAGTATTATATTTAAGTTAAATAAAATAATGTGATCACCCGTTAGTATTTTTTTATATTTACCAAGAAGCAATCGGGCAGGACAATTTACTTTCGTAGTTCAATATGTACGTTCAATACATATTACGAGGTTTTGACTATTTAAGGTGTGGCGGTATCAGAATGTATGGAGACAGTACAGCGAGGTGTTCACATCATGGTGGCAACTCCAGGAAGACTTATGGATATGTTGGATAAGAAAATGGTGAGTGACGGCAGATATGGTTAATAGATTCCTCGACTCTTCGCTTCGGGGAACTACTGTAAAACCTAACTAACAGAAGATTGATGTATTAAAGACATTTCTTGCTAAACGAGCGTTCAAGTATTACGTCACGCAATTTTTGGAGATTGTTGGACACACCCCCCCCCCTCATGTAACGTTTTACAAAAGGACCTCCCCTCCCCAAATTCGTTACGTAATACTTGAACGTTCCATAAATGACTTAAATTATTTATTTATTTACACTTCGTTACCATAAAATACAAAATCATACATATAAAAAAAACCAGGTAACATAAGTTATTAGGTAACGGTCGGCCTTATCGCTAACAAGCGATTTATTCCAGGCAACCCTAATATGGAACAATAAAAATCCAAGCACCTACAGAGGGTAAAGTACAAGAAGTGCATAATTAATTAACAAAAAAAAACTCAAATTAAATAAAACTAAATTATTTGTATTTAATACCACTTTTTAATCTTTTTTTGTATATTTTTTTCTTAATTGAAATTAAATTATGTTTCGTAAATGAGTAATTCGCCATTCGACGCTATTAAGTTTTTTATACAAATGATTATTAATCGACCTCGTAGGTCCGTCTCAACGTATGCCGGTACCTGTGTATGGATGAAGCAGATCGAATGATCGATATGGGTTTTGAAGAAGACGTAAGAACGATTTTCTCTTACTTCGCGGGTCAGAGGCAAACTCTATTGTTCAGTGCGACTATGCCGAGGAAAATTCAGAATTTTGCCAGGTAAGTTTTATCTGCTGTTAAAAAAATGTTCACTTGCAATGAGCCAAAGACAATATTTCTGGTTTTATATAAAAACATAATACATAAAAAATGATAAGGGATGCAACGGGCGGCCTTATCGCTAACAAGCGATCTCTTCCAGGCAACCCAATGGAATAAAACGAAAATGAAATATGATGGATGAAGCGTATAACCGAATCTTATAAAAACCAACTTATCTGCTTACCTTTCTTTTTTCATTTTCTTTTTTTTTAGACAATTCACACCAATTGACCCAGTCCCATGCTAAGCTGGTGAAGCTTGTGTTTATCTAAAATAAGAAAATTCTCGTGTCGGTGTTTGTGGTTAAACTCCTCCGAAACGGCTTGACCGATTCTTATGAAATTTTGTGTGCATATTGGGTATGTCTTAGAATCGGACAACATCTATTTTTCATCCCCCTAAATGTTAAGGGCATGGCAATTGCCCGGTCAGCTAGTATAGTTATAAGGACCTGAGAATTTGAATTCTTTTTTAACTTAAGAGGGAGTTTTGGGATTGAATAGAATTGAGTGTAGAAGTTGACGGAGGTGAGCGTCACGTCTGAGTAGAATAGGTAGCCACTCAGCTGATTGCGGAATTTTAGGCACATGGTCATATTTCCTATGACCAATTATAAAACGTATGCAAAAATTCAGGTTTAAAGAACCTTATTATCATTACACATTACACTTACGTGAGAAAAAAATTGAGTGTGTACACGCGTTAGAAGTTATACTTCTTTGGCGTAACAAGATAAAAATCTTTTCAAAAATTGTATTCCACGTTTGTAGAAAAAACGACACTAATAATAGAAAAAACTAAAATCTTGACTGCAGCTAACTTCTGGGTGTCGGTTTTCTGTGACGGTGTGCGCGCGCAGCGTAAAAATTTACTCAACATTTTTCCCTAACACACCAAAAGAAGTATAACTTCAATAACAATACCCTCCGTACTTTTATAATGAATATTTCAGATCAGCATTGGTGAAACCCGTAACAGTGAACGTGGGTCGTGCTGGGGCCGCATCACTCAACGTGCGTCAGGAGCTGGAGCTGGTGAAGGCTGAAGCTCGTACAGTACACTTGCTCCAATGTCTGCAGAAGACGCCACCACCGGTGCTGGTCTTCGCGGAGAGGAAGCAGCACGTGGATGCCATTCACGAATATTTGTTATTAAAAGGTATTTCAGAGATTAAGGTTACGAAAGGGAATTCACCATTAGGTTTTTTGGTCATGGAGAAAGGAATGACTGATGATGAACCTGCTGTGCTGTACTAGTCAAGCGTGGATGGTGATGTCGGGTTAGGTAGTCCTTGTCGTACATACCTGGACCAAATCCAGGAGGTATTGGAGATGAGGCAATTTAAAAGTACCCATAACCAACGAGCATGCATGGTGAATGTCACGAAATGAAGTGAATGTGAATGGATGAAGCCAGATATCTGGAGCGTGGCAAGTGGAGATCTGTCACCTCTCCCTACCCCTTCGGGAAAAAGTCTTCTTCAAACGATTGGAAAACTTTCCCTTTTCTAAAACGTTACGACGTGGGGCGGGGATTGAATGACGCGCTATTGTTAATATTATTTTCGACTTTCCAGTACTTTACACCACATAATGGTAACTTCTAGGTATAAAGAGTCATTAGGTGCTCACGAAACGTTTTACTATTGGGTACAGAAAAACGTTACGGTGCGTTACATGGGAAGGGGGGTCAATTATCTCCCAAAATTTGCGTGACGTAATACTTGAACGCTCCCTTACATGGGGGGAGGGCAATTAAAATTTCAAAAAATTGCGTTACGTCATACTTAAAGGGTCCCAAATGTCCGCCGTATATGTCCGCCGCTACTAATAGATTCAACCGTTTTCAGGTGTGGAAGCTGTAGCTATCCACGGTGGCAAAGACCAAGAAGAGAGGTCACGTGCTGTGGAGGCTTTCAGAAGAGGAGAGAAAGACGTGCTAGTCGCTACAGATGTCGCTAGCAAGGGTTAGTATTTCAAAAGTCATCCAAAAGTGGAAAAAAGTCCACTACTTCATTTGGTTAACATTATTTTTTCTTTTTATATATGTCAACGTAAAATTGTAAAAACCGTTAGATTGTAATCTATCTCGCGTGATTGTAAACTGTCGAAAAATTGTGAACTCAACGTATTGCTTACAATTTAACGTATTATTATTCGATAGATTATAATCTGTCGAAGTGAAATCGTCAAATTGTGAAACGGTACGCACCTCGCGCGCTGATTGGTTGAACGGAATATGCCATGGTGGCGACCATATTTGTTTGTTAATTCGTTTGTTGTCGAATGTAAACAAACGGTGTTTTGGTGAATGTAAATTGATGTCGTCTTGAAAGTAACTCACAGCTTTAGGATGTTGAAAGTGAACGTGAAAAGTTATATGAAAATGTTGTGGAAGTAAAATTAATCTGTGATTGACCAAAGAAGTGCAGTTTGAATGATAATTAAGTTAGTGTTGGTCTCCAAACATAGTCTAAATTACATACATTTTCCGTGTTTTAATATTTTTTACTCGCGTGAACCTTTGTGATCTCGTATTTACAATGTCGGATATTGAGCCTGTCGATCAACAAAACTCAGAAATATTAGGTATTGTTAATAAGGAAGAATTTACCATAGAGTTACAAAACTATTACAGCGGGCAAAATGAAAATAGTAAAAAATGTAATTGCAAAAAAATAAAAAGAAAGCTGAATGTTCTTTGTAACTCCAGGTGCCACAACTCGTTGACGTGCAACAATAATTGAACATTTTTATTGATGCAATTTACTTTCTTCTTTTTTATATAATAGACAATTTTGTTGTTTTCAAAAACGTTCATATGTTTTCGATTTGTTTTTTTTTTTAATTTTGTTTTTTTTTTCTAAAAGAAAATTTCATTAATTTTTCAATTTTAATTTGTGTTTGAAGAGAAAATATTGTTACGTTTCTGATTTTTTTATTTTGATATATTTTTTTTTCATCATGTGATGTCAGAATTATTGATATAATAAAATATACTAATTTTTGAAGAGCATTCATTTTATTTGACCGATACCCTTGTTTCATTCCTAATTCTATGGACATAATATAACGGTCTACTATAAAGCCGACCAATCAGCGCGCGAGGTGCGTACCGTTTATTATGTCCATAGAGTTAGGAATGAAACAAGGGTATCGGTCAAATAAAATGAATGCTCTTCAAAAATTAGTATTTATTATATCAATAATTCTGGGGATATCAATAGATGGGTAATAATGGAACTCCACATAGCTCTCACGGTTACGCAGTTCGTACCTTTAGATAATTGTAATATCATTCCAGGTCTAGACTTCCAAAACATCCAGCACGTGATAAACTATGACATGCCAGAAGATATAGAGAACTACGTCCATCGCATCGGGCGTTGTGGGCGAGCCGGTCAGGCGGGCGTGGCGTCCACACTTCTGTCAAGGCAGCAAGACGACAGCGTATTAAGAGATCTCGCGCATTTGCTGAGGGAAGCTGGACAAAAGGTAAATTTACAAATTCAAATTCAACTTGTATGCATAAAATTATACAAGAAAATATGTCATCACAAATTTTACACACATCTATTATATAAGAACTTAAGCAACAGAAAATTAAAATAATAAAAAAGGGTGCGTGTACTTATATACGCGCGTAAGAAGTTATACTTCTTTGACATTATTAAAAATAGTTTTTGATTGCATGCAAATAATTAATTACAATTAAATAATCAAAGACTGGAAAACGAGTCATTATAGTCAATAAAGTTCAGTTTACATTTGAAAAATTCAATAAATAAATATTTATTATTATTCTCTTACATAAAGTGTAACATAAATTCTATTATTATTCGAATGTTGTTTTTAAATTATGTCCAATGCCGTAGCATCTTCCGTGGGCAACTTCATTCTGTTAATTTTGTGTCGCGGTGCGCGCGCATCGTAAAATTTCACTCTCATCTATTTTTCATAACGCGCCTAAAGAAGCATAACTTCAAAAATTGTCTTTGGTCTACAAATACTAATGGCTGATGTACCACTTTCTTTACAAATAAAAACTTATTATTATTAACACATAGTATTCATAATACACACGAAGGAACGACATCGAAGGGACTACTCATATTTGGTCGTTAAAACCGATAGTCGTAACAGCCGATGACGTTGTTAAGAACCTAATACAATAGAATTCAGGATTCTTTGATTTTGGTCAATATAACCGGTATGTTGTTCTAAACGATGTCGGCCTCAACGGTTTTAGCAAGAACTAACAATAAACTGTTTTACAAAATAAAATAAAACATTCTACATTGTAAGATATTTGCCTCCAGGTACCTTCGTTCCTGATGGACATGATTGGCGGGGATGAACCGGCAGTGGATGGGCAGGGATGTTCCTACTGTGGAGGATTGGGACACAGGATTACAGGTAATTATTGCAATTATACATATAGCAGCTATCTTTTATACCTAAAGCTGTCTTGCAGTTAAAACTGTATGAAAATCCGTGCAGTTTGGTGTTTATTGCAAACATAACAAGCCTGTTTTATAATATACTAGCAGACTCGGCCAAGCGTGGCTGTGGCTAAGGTTTTAGTTATATTACATAGTAGTAAACTATTCAAGGGATACGGTAGGAGAACACCAGTCATGGGGACCACCATGCTTTTTGGTGGTTATGCCATTAAATTGTAGCTTATGTGAAACGTTGGTACTTTCAACACATCGCCATCTGTTAGAATTGTATCAAATAATAAACAAATATTTGCAATAAAATAATATTGCAGGTATATATTGAGATGTAAGCTATCCTATCTTTTAAGTTGGTTCAAACTACACACGGTGTGCAAATTTGATTGAAATCGGTTCGGTAGTTTAGGAGTCCATAGCGGACAAACAACGTGACACGTAATTTATATATATTAAGATTTATATAGCAATTAAACGATTGTTACCTCAAGTATTTGTATTTGTAAATGCAATGTGTTTTACCGTTCTACCCGCAAGTTGAAGAAATAAAGTGTTGACGTAAAAAATATAAAAATTCTTAATAGTTGACTGTTTAAACGAGCGAAGAAAGTCTTCAAACAAATGTTTAACGCAGATATTTTTAAGAGCATTTTGAAATTTTGTAAAAGTGAGGGTAGATCTAATTTGAAGTTTATTTTGCACTTAGGGTTTGTTAATGTATTAAACGCTACGTCTCTAAATACGCTCGTACGTGATTAAGAAATCCATACGAATACTTTATAAAGTTTCTACGTTTTCTTTTTGAAACTTTGTTAAAATGAGGGTAGATCAGATCACCAACTGTGCTGAAACAATTTTTTTTTCAGAATGTCCGAAATTGGAAGCTGTGCAGACCAAGCAAGCATCAAATATCGGAAGACGAGACTATTTGGCTAACACAGCTGCTGACTACTAAAAATGGCTGGACAGAATTCGATGGATTATTACATTGTCGCGAAATTAACGAGAATTTTTATATTACATACTATGCTTTGCAAATCGTATAGTTATGTATATATATATATAAATAAAGACTGGAATTGTACTGTTCTTTCGAATTATAGAAAGTTCTAGAACTATTTAATATTTAAAAAAAAATGACAGCTCATTGGTCTAGTGAAGTGGTTAGTATCCCTGACTGCGAATCCATGGGTCCCGGGTTCGATCCCAGACTGAGACAAACATCGATGTGATGAGCATTTGGGGTTGTGCTTAGGTCTTGGGTGTTTAAATATGTATTTATATGTGTTAGGTCTATCCGTTGCCTAGTACCCATAACACAAGCTTCACCAGCTTAACATGGGACTAGGTCAATTGGTGTGAATTGTCCAATCAAAAAAATAATGTTCAATTAAAGCCGTGAATGTAAATATTAATATTTTTAAGTATTGTAAATATTGATGTGATCTGTGGTACAAAAATAAAATTATTTTTGTTAAAATTTTGTGTGTTTATTTACGTCATGCATAAAGCAGCATCATAGACATTAACTCCCCACTTAAAATGTTCCTCTGTACTGGACAGCATTTTGACGCTATACAGCGACAATATCTGGCAGATAAGATTGTTAGTGCTATACAGCTTAAAACTTGGATATACAGCTTGATATTATTAGCAATGTAAGGAGAACTTGTAACCAAAACAAAGAAAATCACTTTTTTTAATCTAATTATTTTACAGAATAATATAATCATGATATGTTACATTTGAATCTATGGTTTGTATTCGTGTAACCATAGCAGTCTTGTTAAGGAATGCGACAAATGCATATAAAAAAAAGGGTGCGTGTACTTATGTACGCGCTTAAGAAGTTATACTTCTTTGGCTTTCTTTATTTTTTTTAAATATTAAATAATTAATAACAAATATTTAACGTTAATAATTTAATAATATTTAATATTTAGTATATTATTCAATTATTAATTAATATTAATTATTTTATTATATTATTAATTCAATTTAATAACTAGGTATGTTTCATAACCTTTTAACTAAGTAACAATAGGACTTTGTGAAAAAGCATTGCTAAATTTCTTTGAAAAAATAATTAAAACTCCTTTATTTGTTTAAAAGGTAAATGTCATTATGTTCATTCAAAATTCTTGGCATAGCTGCTAACTTCACGCATATTCTATTTCTTTTTACTTGTAGATTGTCTTATTCCCATCTCGCTCGCGCACGCTATAATCACACTGACTTTGTGTCTCAGGTGCGCGCGCATCGTAAAATTTCACTCTCATCAATATTTCGTCGGTTCAAAGGTAAAACTCACTAAGTGACATTTTGACACAAAATGAGATATTGCTACCTTGGCTTCTATATAGAACAAATCTACAGTAAGAAAAAAATCACTAAGTGCGTATTGTGCTTCAAAACAAAACTGTCAAGTGCAAAAAATCTTTAAGTCCAAATGCTCTTTTATCACTTTACAAGTAAAACTCATTTAGCACTTCATGAATTTTGCCTGAAATCTTTTTTCTTAGGTCGTTTTAATCTATGGCATTAAAACTCATTATGTCGACAATGAACGTAGAAGAAAAGAAAGATCAAGTGAAAATCGTACTTTATCAAAACAATATTATTTAGAAAATGCTGGTGGTAAACATAGAGTGTGTGCTAATTTCTTTGAAAAGACTCTAAATATTTCAAATGGGCCTATAAATACAGCTATAAAGGGTGCAGGACCAACAGGATGTTTTTCTGGATCAAACAAGAGAGGAAGGAAAGCTCCAGGAAACAAGACTAGTGAAGAAGATGTTTCATTAGTAAAGGAGCACATAGAGAGCTTTCCAGTAATGGAAAGTCACTATTCTAGGAAACAAAGTAAAAAAATGTACCTTGAAAGTGGCCTTTCTATTCTTAAAATGTATGATTTATATCAACCATTTTGTTTGGTAAGGAATGCAACACCTGTAAAGCAATGTACGTATAGGCGCATCTTTTGTAACAATTACAATTTCTCCTTCTTTAAACCAAAGAAGGATTTGTGTGCTACTTGTTCCAAGTACAAAGATGCCAGTCCTAAACTAAAGGTTGACATGGAAGCTGAATATTCTTTACATCTTATAAGAAAAACAGAATGTCAGGAGGCTAAAGCCAAAGACAAGTTGAAAGCCAGCGAAGACCCTACATTTGTAACAGCCACATTTGATTTGCAAAGTGTTTTGCAATTGCCGTATTCAGATGTGTCTCTATTTTACTATTCAAGAAAAATCTGCGTATATAATTTGACAATATATTTGGCTAGTAGAGAAGCACATTGTTACACTTGGAACGAGTTAAATGGAAAGAGGGGAAGCAATGAAATTGGTTCCATATTGTTAATATTTTTGCAGTCACTGCCTGTTATAGTAACAAGTGTTTCCTTGTTTTGTGATACTTGTGGTGGGCAGAACCGTAACCAACAAGTGGCTGCCATGTTGTTGTATGCAGTGAAAAAAATTGAGCATCTAAATCAAATTGAACTTAAGTTCATGGAATCAGGGCATTCACAAATGGAGTGTGATTCAATGCACTCCGCAATCGAGTCTGCAAAGAAACATAAAAGTGCTTTTACCATGACAGACTGGATTAACATTTTCCGTTCTGCAAGATCCCAAAGAGGCAAAAATAAAGCCAGTGGTGAGTACATAGTGCACCATTTAAAGTATACAGATTTCTTTAATTTACAGTCTTTGGCATCATCTTCTATAAAAAATAGAAAATATAAAGATGAAGATGGAAATACAATATCATGGCTAAAAACGAAATCGATAAAAGTCGAAAAAGGGTCACCAGACATACTGTTCTGTCGGTATGATCATTCTTCGGAGTACAAGAAGGTAAACTTAGTTGGTAGAGGTCGCAGAAAAGCTGCAGCACTAGGCTTGAAACCTGCATATTCTGACCCACTGCCAATATCGAAGGCAAAAAAAGCAGACTTGGTCAAGCTTGTTAATGCTGGCCACATACCAGAGGAACTTCACCTATGGTATAGGAATATACCAGCAATTGATGTGAATGGTCCTGAGCGCTTGCCCGAACCAGACGAAAGTGAAGATGAAAATTAATCTCTTGACAGCTGTTCATAAGAAAGTTCATGACATTAATGTTTAATAAATTATATTATTTAAGATTTGAAACGAAGTATTTCATTAAATACAATATTGTACCCTGATAGGAAAAAGTAAAAATCATTATGTACATTTTAATTTTTTACATACCAAGCATAAAGATTTAAAACAAAAACAATCTAATAGTAAAGTAAAAGATATATCATTACATGTTCACAAAAAGTTTTAGTACATTTTATCCATCTTTTGATTTTTCAGACTAAAAAAACGCAAAAACCTAAATATCTCATTTTGACTATTATGCCACAAAATGAGTTTTACCTTTGAACCGACGATTTCATAACGCGCCTAAAGAAGTATAACTTCAAAAAGTTTTTCTATTTACTTTTTATGTTGGTTAACCATAAGTAGTCCGTCAGTCGCAGTAGCAAAACCCTCAACGTTCTCTCATACGTTGTTTGCTCTCGATGTTCAGAGCCGCACTTTTGTTACCGCTCAAGTCTGTATGTCTTAATGGAAGCTCACTGGAGTGAGCGCAGTACGGAGTAAGGGACTGCGCTTTCCGCGGTAAAGGCGGTTTTTATACTAATCTGAACAGACATTTTCACGCCGTCCTTTAACTGTTAGTTATCGTAAGGGGTCATCCGGATCCGTTAAAATCTGTCGATGCTTTTACGCACCAACGGGTTGGGTCTCGTCGAAGGTGCTTGGACACCAACTTCAGCCATTGGGCTGTTTTAGGGGTCTACACTTAACTTTGTTCTTAACTGTGTAATTAAGGTCCAATTATAAACACTGACTGGAAACGCGTTAATAATATTAGGTCCAACAAAAAACCATTTGAACGGGAATCAATAAAATCTTTAAAGGCGGTTTTCACTGTCCCATAAGAGTTGAATTTTTTACCTAAAAGTTATCCAAATTTAGAAAAATATGGTAATCTGTTGGAGCAAGGTCCGGGAGGTACGGTGGAAGTCTTAGACATTCCAATTGAAGCACCTCTAATTTGGTGGCAGTCTGTTGAGTAGTATGTGGTCTAGCGTTTTCGTGAAGCAGCAGTGGCCTAGAACGATTGACCATCCTTGGTTGTTTAGCAGCTAGCTTTTCCAGCATGGTTTGCAGTTGCAGACAATAGACATCTGTCGTAATCTTCTGTCCAGATTTAAGAAAGTTATAGAGAACGACCCCGGCGCTAGTCCACCAAACGCTCACAAATAACTTTTTCGGAGTAAATTTTCGTTACCTAATTTGTTTTAATCGATTGTGTTCATTATCTCTTAAGTATGTTAAACTCCTTAATTTTTGGTGAGGAAAATGAGAGTCAGTATCGTAGATGGAAAGATGATGGATAAAAAAAGGAAGACTCATAGTGAAGAATGCTGGGTGGCATATGTGATATGCTAGAAAGTAGGACAAACCGAGGGAGTTTGGAATACCTAATTAATATATTTGTCGGTATTTTTAAAAAGCATTTTATTGTAAATATCTACATTAATCCTTTAAAATAAAGAATCTTCTATCTACAGAAGAAATAGAAGCGGTAGCAGGAAGCGAATAGAGAAAGAAAGCCATTGTTTACTTCGTTATTGTTTTACTTCCTGAGGTGGGCAAACTGTTTGAGCGAATAATTGTCTCGCGCCTCGAGAAGCATCTTCAGATTATTGGTCCAAATCTGTCTGATACTCAATTCGGTTTTCGGCGTGGTCGCTCTACAATTGACGCTTTAGCTAAGTTAAGGGACTTGTGCGAAGAAACTGTCTCTGGGGGTGGGGTTGTGTTGGCGGTTTCGCTAGATATTGCGAATGCGTTCAATACTATTCCCTGGAGAGCGATTATGGATGGTCTCCTTTATCATGGTGTGCCT